TTGGGCACCAGGGTCCATGAAGGCCCAAGGGGCATACCGACGGAACACGTGTTTCATCTTGCAGATCCCAAAAACGCTTCAGGGCACCTTCCCACGCTGCTCGACCAAACAAGAAGACTCAGCGCTCAAACACCTCTCCAACCCACCAACTTAAAAGATGACTCATCGCGGGCTCGAGCACACAAGCCGGCGGTGAGACAGTAGGTTGCACGCTTCGCGCCACTTGGGTATGCGTCAAAATAGGGGAAGCCCCCCCCCCAAACAAAAAGAGAAAAGTGGGTTGTCCTTTTCGTTTCCCTTGACTTAAAAAAGCAGACCCACTTGCAGCCCGGCTGCTATCAAAGCCCAGGAACCTCAACACCTCCGAGTTGCCCCGCATGGCCGCGTGGAGTTTCGGGTCACTGCGGGCCTCTGGCGCCGCGTGCACGATGGCCTTGTCGTTCTGCTTCAGGGCTTCAACCACCACCTCCCGGCAACGTTTTGCACACCGGAAACATGGGAGATGGACTACAGGGGTAGCCATGGGGAAATCCGTGCTTCGACTTCTACCTTCTGCTTCCCGGTTATTTTCATAGCAGAGGAACCTTGCTTAGATATACATTAGGAAGGGATGAAGGTCCCCTTACGCGTCCTTTTGAAGAAACTCACGCAGATTCCACGGCAAAAGGGATTCCTCCGGATCGCCTCCAAGTCGCCCCGCAGCTCCGCGGAGCAGAACCTCAGGGCCATGCCCTCGCAGCGCACCGCCCGCAGCATCAGCGCCTGTGGTGTTGATCTTTTTGGGTGTGTGAGGGGAACACCGAAAGGGCATGTGTCAAAAATATGGAGGCCCAAAAATAGGGTGGCTTTCCTTGTGCTTGTCCTTTTGGTTTCCCTGCAAACCACCCCAAAAGCAGATACCCAAAAGGATATTACTGAACCAATGGCGGCTTAACCGATGTGGCATTGACCTGTCAAAGGGAAACCTCACGAAAATGCGTCAAACCCACAGTGACCCAATCCCTCTGGTTTGGATGGAAACAACCAAAAGGAGAATATTTTAACACTGAACAAGGAGTAAACATGATGAAACAGGGACTTGCCCCTGCCTTGCCAGTACACTGCAAAGAGAAGCCAAAAGGAGGTTGTTTGACCAATGGTGGCCAAAATATTCGTCATGGCATTTCTCTGATCGGCCTCCAGCGGTACCCACAGAAACTCACCAATGCCAGCCTGAAACCGGCAGTTCAAAGCGGCTCGAAACGGACCGTTGGCCAATCCTACCCCATACCTACAGAAAAGAAAAAACACGCTGCAGAGAAAACCAAGCCCTTCCGCAACTCAAGGTGAGCACCTTGCAGATTGCATTTTAACAGCGTCCAAAAAGGAAGCCTGACAAACCAGTGGCCCCAAGCCCTGGGAACCACAAAGCGCCCAGAAGGCCCGCGCGCCGAGCGAGGCCGCCTTGTCCTTCCGCAGCTTCTGCGCCGCGAAGTCCAGGCACGCAGCGTCCTGACGCAGCGCCTCGAGCACCACCTCCTGAGAACTGCCACAGCCATGCCCTGTACTGAAGCAACTGGATGTGTGCATGTGTGCATGTGCATGTGCATGTGCGTGTGCAAGAGCATGTGCATGTGCATGTGCATGTGCGTGTGCATGTGCATGTGAATGTGCATGTGCGTGTGCAAGAGCATGTGCATGCGCATGTGCATGTGCGTGTGCATGTGCGTGTGCATGTTCATGTGCATGTGCATGTGCGTGTGCAAGAGCATGCGCATGTGCATGTGCGTGTGCATGTGCATGTGCGAGTGCATGTGCATGTGCATGCGCATGTGCGTGTGCAAGAGCATGTGCATGTGCATGTGAATGTGCATGTGCATGTGCATGTGAGTGTGCAAGAGCATGTGCATGTGCCTGTGCGTGTGAAAAAAAGCATGTGCATGTGCATGTGCGTGTGCATGTGCGTGTGCATGTGCATGTGCATGTGCTTGTTCAAGAGCATGTGCATGTGCATGTGCGTGTGCATGTGCATGTGCATGTGCGTGTGCAAGGGCATGTGCATGTGCATGTGCGTGTGCATGTGCATGTGCATGTGCGTGTGCAAGAGCATGTGCATGTGCATGTGCGTGTGCATGTGCATGTGCGTGTGCAAGACCATGTGCATGTGCATGTGCATGTGCGTGTGCATGTGTGTGTGCATGTGCATGTGCATGTGCATGTGCGTGTGCAGGAGCATGTGCATGCGCATGTGCATGTGCGTGTGCGTGCGTGTGTGTGTGTGTGTGTGTGCATGCGCATGTGCATGTGCACGTGCGTGTGCAAGAGCATGTGAATGTGCATGTGCATGTGCATGTGCGTGCAAGAGCATGTGCATGTGCATGGGCATGAGCGTGTGCATGTGTGCGTGCGCATGTGCATGTGCATGTGCGTGTGCAAGAGCATGTGCATGTGCATGTGCATGGGCGTGTGCAAGAGCATGTGCATGTGCAAGTGCATGTGCATGTGCGTGTGCAAGGGCATGTGCATGTGCATGTGCATGTGCGTGTGCATGTGTCTGTGCATGTGCATGTGCATGTGCATGTGCATGTGCGTGTGCCAGAGCATGTGCATGTGCATGTGCATGTGCGTGTGCAAGAGCATGTGCATGTGCCTGTGCATGTGCGTGTGCGTGGGCAAGAGCAAGTGCATGTGCATGTGCATGTGCATGTGCGCGTGCAAGTGTGCATGTGCATGTGCATGTCAATGTGCATGTGCATGTGCAAGTGCATGCGCGTGTGCATGTGCATGTGCATGTGCTTGTGCGTTTGCATGTGCATGTGCATGTGCGTGTGTGTGTGTGTGCATGTGCATGTGCATGCGAATGTGCGTGTGCATGTGCATGTGCATGAGCATGTGCATGTGCGTGTGCATGTGAATGTGTGTGTGTGTGTGTGCGCAAGTGCATGTGCATGTGCATGTGCATGTGCATGTGCGTGCGCATGTGCATGTGCATGTGCATGTGCCTGTGCATGTGGATGTGCACGTGCGTGTGCATGTTCATGTGCATGTGCATGTGCGTGTGCAAGTGCATGTGCATGTTCATGTTTGGCATGGGCATGTGCGTGCGCATTTGCATGTGCATGTGCCACGTGCATGCAATTTTGCATGTGCATGTGCATGTGCGTGTGCATGCGCATGTGCATGTGCGTGTGCGTGTGCATGTGCATGTGCGTGTGCCTGTGCGTGTGCATGTGCATGTGCGTGTGCATGTGCGTGTGCATGTGCGTGTGCATGTGCATGTGCATGTGCATGTGCGTGTGCATGTGCATGCGCATGTGCATGTCCAAGTGCATGTGCATGCATGTGGAAGCGCATGTGCATGTGCATGTGCATGTGCGTGTGCGTGTCATGTGCATGTGCATGTGCAAGTGCATGTGCATGTGCATGTGCGTGTGCGTGTGCATGTGCATGTGCGTGTGCATGTGCATGTGCATGTGCATGTGCATGTGCATGCGCATGTGCATATTCATGTGCGTGTGCGTGCGCATGTGCATGTGCATGCGCATGTGCATGTGCGTGTACATGTGCATGTGCATGTGCAAGTGCATGTGCATGTGCATGTGCAAGCGCATGTGCTTTAACATGTCCATGTGCGTGTCATGCGCATGTGCAAGTGCAAGCGCAAGTGCAAGTGCATGTGCAAGTGCATGTGCATGTGCATGTGCATGTCCATGTGCATGTGCATGCGCATCTGCGTGTGCATGCGCATGTGCAGGTGCGTGTGCATGTGCGTGTGCATGTGCATGTGGATGTGCATGTGCATGTGCAGGTGCAGGTGCGTGTGCATGTGCATGTGCATGTGCATGTGCATGTGCATGTGCATGATTTTCTCGCGATTTTTTGTATTTTACACTAGCCCGTCAACATCCCCGGCTCCAGCATTGTTGTAAACATCCCTTGCATGTCCGACCAACATTCCATCACCAACAAATCGTGGGCAACAAAATCTAAAAAGTAGCTGGCGCGTTGACGGGGTCGAACAAATTAGGATTCAAATAGGAGGGCATTGCAATCGCTGTAAAACCAATCTAAGAAGTAGCAGGGGGTTAGGAGGGGCGGCAGCCCCCCCGCCATGATGTTCATAGAAGTGATGATTCGAATAGGGGCGCAATGTCTATCTCAGTCTCAAAAGTAGCGGGGGGGGGGGGGTTGGGGGGGCAGCAGCCCCACCCCCATGATGTTCGAAGAAGTGATGATTCGAATAGGGGTGCAATTAGATCTCTGCAAAAAGTCTAAAAAGTAGCGGGGGGCAGCAGCCCCCCCCCATGATGTTCGAAGAAGTGATGATTCAAATTGGGGTGCAATGATTCAAGAAAGGGTGCGATAGAATATAAAAAGCAGCGGGAGTGGCTTCCCCTATGATGTTCCATACATACAGACATACATAGATTACATGCATTACGTAAAATGTCGTATTTTACAGCATTTTCTCGCGAAATTGGATGCTTGAAAAAGTGATGATTCAAATAGGGGTGCAATTAAATCTCTGCAAGAAATCTAAAAAGTAGCGGGGTTGGGGGGAGGCGGCAGCCCCCGCCCATGATGTTTGCAGACAGGGGTGAAATTAGATCTTTGCAAACAATCCAAAAAAAGTAGCGGAGAGGGTGGGGGGGATGTCACGAGAGCTTGGCGGCCCTTGTTGCAATGTTTCATGTGAGCAGCGAGAAAAAAGGTGTAAGCAAACACCAACTAACTCTTGCGCCTCCGCTTCTTGCGGGGCATCACTTTGCTCAATGCGCGGCCCTTGCTGGGCGCATCCTTGGATCCAGCCTGCAGCAAGCAACGCACAACATCCTCACGCTGGAAGGTGCTGGCAAGTTTCAGGGGTGTGTAGCCATCATGGTCCACCAGGTTCTTGTCAGCGCCAGCCTCAAGCAGCAGTTTGGCAACCTTGAGGTGGCCTCTGTCAGCCGCATCGTGTAAGGGAGTGCATCCATCGCCGTCCTGCTTATCTTTATCAGCGCCAGCGTCCAGCAAAATACTCACAAGATCGTGATGGCCAAACCAGGCCGCAATATGTAAGGGCGTTCGCTCGAGATTGTTTGCCTTGTTCCTGTCAGCTCCCGCTTCCAGCAAGCAGCGCGCAACTTCTCCATCGCCCTGATAGCAAGCGATATGCAAGGGAGTGTGGTTTGTAATGTTATGGCTGTCTTTGTCAGCCCCAGCTTCCAGCAGGCATTGTACGATTTCCTTGCACCCCTCTTCAGCTGCTCCATGCAACGGGGTGTTCATACCACTGTCGGACTTGTCCGGGTCAGCCCCAGCTTCCAGCAAGCACCTGACAACTCCTTCATGGCCATGGCTGGCTGCCCAGTCCAAGGCTGTGCACCCATGCTCGTCCGGCTTGTCTTTGTCAGCGTCAGCCTCCAACAAGCAACGCACAACCTCCGCATGGCCGTTTTTGGCAGCCAAATGTATGGCTGATCTATCTCTCCTGTCACTGATGTCTGGGTTTTGCGGCTCATCCAAGAGTGTCAGGACCAATGCCATGTCCCCGTGTCTGGCTGCCTTGGGCAGCTCGGAAAGGCAAACGGCGCCTGAGCTATCGCTTTCACATCCGTCAGAGTCTGGTTGAACATATGGTTTCACCACAGCCACAAGCTCTGCCATCATCCAGGGGCTGTCCGGGCCCAAGGTCTGCTCGCCCCACGCCAGCGAGAGCCGCCTGAAGTTTCGCAGCTGCAGTCGCCTGGCCACCTCGCTCCTCAGCAAGTCGAAGAAGCATGCGCCACCGTCACGCAGCGCGGAATGCTCCTCCCACCAGGAGGCAAAGGCCTCTGCGTGCATCACGTCCTCACCACTCACCCTGCGAACGCACCCCATGGCCGAGGGAAGGAACGGAGCTGCCTCCATGGGACGGATTCTATCACCTGATTCTGTCACCTGCTAAGAGTGAAGCTTGGGAAGCGATTTTTTTAATAGGAAGATGTGTCTGCCGCGGCCTTGCTTCATGCATTGATCGAATACACTGCGAGCCAAGACAAGCAAACATCGCGTTGATTCTGTCGCATGTTGATGTTCTCCGCTGAATGGTCACCAGCACCCCAATTCTTTTTGTGAAGAAGCCATCATCAGGAAGCATCACTTTGTGCTAGTTTGTGTAGGCTTCGCATGCGTTATTCCCAAGGCATTTAAATGCAACAACCCGAACCACAAGCCATCCAATCCAGGTGCCCTGGAGGAACACGCAATGCAGCCATCCCCTGCATGTTCATCTAAATCCGAGGGAGTGATCTTGCAGCTTCTGGACCAAAACCACCTGAGGTTCACCATCCGTCTTGCTTGGAGCCTCTGGGGCCTTTGGGCTTTCAAACTGACCTCGGGCCCAAGCTGGTCTCAAGTTGGTATCTTAGGCATCTTGACTTGGATAGTCCCCGCTCTAAGTGGCCCCAGGAGTTGGCTTGCTCTTCCAACTCCATGCAAGCAACGCCAGCTTTCGACTCCGCCAATTACCGTCTGCCACAAGCCAGGAAGGGTTAGATAGTGGTCATTGACTCCAAATTGGAGGCTGAAATCCCCGAGCCGATCCAAACCGATAAATCCAGGAGCTCTTGGCCTTCGGAGCGGTCGGAAGCTTGGGAGGAACCTGAGTTGTGGGAGCGGGACCCGATGCCCGGATTTCACGAGTCGTTGAGTGCGGCATGTGATGTGCTCGGGGCTGGGCAAGGGACCAACATCTGACATGTCTGAATCCATGCGGCTGGTGCGGCAAGCTTTGGGTTTGATGTTCTGAAGGCTGGCCTGAGACAAACTGCTCTACAATTGAGGGTCGAGAAGCTCAACTCAGCCCTGAGCAACACTTCAGGCTTTCGAGGTGACGAAAGCGGCGGCCCGAAGCACTGCATTTTCAGCTTCAACTCCCCAGTGTGTACCCGAATCGGGCCCGCCACAGAGGTGCCAAGACCCCAACCAACCCCTTCACCCCCAAGCCCTGGCCCCCCCCCCAAAAAAAAAAAAAAAGACGACTCCCACAAGCCCCGGTCCTTGTCCCCCCGAAGCCTCAGCGAGGCGAACTTCAGCGCCTTCCAGGTCTGCTGCACCGCCTGCAGCACCAGCGCCCGGTCGTTCCGCATCTCCAGCGGCAGGATCTCCAGGGCCAGGCCGCTGCACCGCACCGCCCGCCTGGCGAGCTGGCGATCGAGCGACCGGGGGCGGGAGGGAGGGGTGGGAACCAAGGCATCGCCTGGTTTCCGGCCTGGCCATGGCGTAATCCGCGCGCAGGGCCGGGGAGGCGGAGGAGAGTGCCCGCCAGTCTTGGCTCAAGGCCAGCTTGAGGATCCTCGATCGACACGGCCGGCCATCCCAAGCTTCGGGTTCGGACTTTCTGAGGCATAAACCACTCTGGGCTTGCTTGTCTTTGTGGGGGATATCTGCTTTCTAGGGATGCGGTTTGGAGGATGGAGGTTATACAAACCGCTGAAAAAGGGGTATACATTGCCTTACCACCTTTTCCTGGTGGTATACCAGCACCCATACCGTACCTACCACAAAACATGCCGGAAAATGCCAATGATGCGTGGGCCATGCCCTCGCCAAACCAACCGCGGACTATGCTGCCAGTTTTCCTTGGGGCGTCCTTTTCAACCGACCTCAAAAGGCTAACCCTCAAAAGCACACACACACACACACAACAAATGGCAAACGGATGGAGAAGCGAAACCGGCTGAAGATGCAAAAGGGCAGCAGCGGCCATACTTCACCCACCTGGAAGTGGAAACCTGAGGCACCTGCCCAAAGTGTGATGAGAAAAGATGTTGCTGATGCCAACAATTTGTGTAAGAATCACGGCTTTGAGAACTGAGAACCGGCCTGGAAACAACAGTAGAGTAGAGCAAAAGCAACACAAGCACGTGCTCAAGCATCAAGTCGGCCCACAGCAGCGAGTGTCTCTGCTTTAATTGGTCCGAATGGTCGAAAGGAATCACTCTGCCAGCCTGACATGGGCATCTTCGAAAGGGCAAGGGTGAAACAATTTGGGAGCCGTGTGCCGCACAGGCCGAAGTGCTGGCCAAGGGTCTTTGAGTTTGCGCGGATGGGCGCCGCCGCGGACTGCAAGATGCGCCAACTCCCAGAGAAGGCAGCCATGAAGGGCTCAATCTTGCAGTGCCTAGTGATTCTAAAGGCTCAAGCCCGGACCCTCGGAGCTCTCAAGGGTTCAGGGTTCTCAAGTGCCTTGGGCCTCCAGTACCTCGGATGCGCCCTTCCCAAGCCAAGCCGTTGCCAACTGCTTGCGATCTGCGGCTCGTGAACTGGCACGTTCCTTCGCCTTAAACACTTGCACCCGTGCGTTCGCCGATCAAATCCTGGCCCGCTTGACAAGAAAGGAGGAAACGACACACCCCACCACCACAAAGCAGGAACTTACAGGTTGTCGAGGCGCTTGTCCATGCACACCACCAGCACCAGATTCAGGGCGTTTCCCCCCGCCAGGTCCCACAGCGACTGCAAGTCGTCCACATCTTGGTCGCCCAGCAGCAAGCGTTGCCGCAGGGCTGGCAGCTTCTCGCCTCTCTGTTCAAAATGGGACTTGGTGGGAGTTTCTCAGAATGGAACCCTTTTGGTTGGTGTTTCAAGGGAGGCCAACATGAAACCCTTGCAATGTTAGGCGAACCCTATTTTGAGAAACACTCTGTTGCAGCCCAAAGAGAATCAAAGGACCCTAGGGACCTGAAAGGCAAGTGCTCAACCCGCCAGTGTTGAACCCCAAACCTGGAGAACACTACATCGCTTCAACAAACCCTCATGCATAGCATGTGAGCATTGTGCAAGTGGCGGCTTGCGATGGTCTGCGCCGAAGATTGTGCACTAAATAAATGAAGTCACAGACTAGAGCTTTGTCGCCAGGCCCCCAGAACAAAAGGAAGTCATAAATGGGTGTGTCGTGCGTGCTCTCCCAAGGGAGGCCTCCAGACTTTCAGCCCGACCCAAATTCTGTCCCTTGGGTCAGAGCGACTCTTCTCCAGCTGCTTCTTCAGGTCTGCCACCAGCCACCGCCTCTCGGCCCAGATGCTGCGCAGGGGGCCCTGGATGTCACTGATGTTCACCTGAGCCACTCCACCGAAAACAGCACCTAGCGTTGTAATTGATATGAGCACAATTTCTTCAATGGGGGCCCTTCCCGCCGAAACCAAAGTGCATGCGACTGGGCTTGATCCCTGGGAAGCTAAGGACACCTATGATTCCGAACGTGACATCCGAAGGCGCCAAGTGCCAGGCACCTGCCAGGCGCTCCCCGCCTGCATCGGCTCGTCCTCGCGGTGCCTCGCCTGCAGCTCCTCCCGCAGGCTCTCCGCCAGGCGGGCCCGGGCCTCGTCGATGCGGAGCTGCTCGTCCTGCACCGAGCCGCCGCGCCCCCCCCCCCCCCCACGGCCGCAGGCACGGAAAATGGGGCCCCTTTCTAAGTGGGATTGCCATGGACAACCACTTTATCAGGTGGAGGATGGTATCACAGAAATCAGTCCGAAAAATATGGGTTTTCCACAACCTTGGGTTCAGCCCAGGCCCAGGGTGTGGGGCCTGGTGGGGTTTTACCCCCCTCAGTCCAAACCCTCAGACTGAAACACCACTAAGGCCAAACCAGTTGGGTACACTCGGGCTTCGAACTTGATGAAGCGCGCCTGGCTTGCTTCTTAGCACCCCTGCAGTATGGGGTGTGTGCGATTGCGGATTTTAATCACAGCCGGAGGCTCAAACCCCAAACAAGTTCATAATTCACACCAGAGGGGACCTGCCCCTGCCCTCGCCTTGATATCCTGCAACGTGATCTCCTGCTCCTCCTCTTCATCAAGCCTCTGCTCGTGGCACCCTCGGAAGAAGCCCTGTAAAACGGAACCATTGCGTGCCCGGCGCCCAAGAATCTCCACTCGAAATCCTTATCACCTCCGAAAGCCCGACCCCCACCCCAACTCCCTCAACATCTCTCAGCCCCCAAACCAACCCAAGCTCAGGAAAACCATCCCAAACTCACCTGTGCCCAGCTTTTCCCACCCCCACCCAAAAAGACAGTCCAACCAACCCCACCGCTCAGACCCTCCAAACCCCAGCAACTTCCGAGGTGCTGGACCCCTTCCTCCTGGCATCCCTGCTCCGGGCTCTGCTCCTCCTCCCGCTGCAGCTCCGCCTCGAGGGGTGGGGCAAAGGTTCTCCCTTCCATACCCACTGCAAATAAGGGAAAAGAGAGCCACAGGTGGTATTGCAAGGGGTCACCCCTCCGGAGAAGTCCAGGATGAGCTATCAAAACCACCACCCTGCTGAAAGCAATCCTGGCCACCCAAAGGAGGCACCGTTGGCAAGCGTGTGGTTTTGTGGCACCTTTGTGGTGGTGCCGGATTGCCGGAAGCATTTAGGAGTTCGCTTTCACATGGCCTGCTGCGAAACGTCCAACAACTTCTGTTTGCACCCCACTTCCAACAATCACGAAAGCTGACAGTCAGGAAGGTGTGGAAGGATGCTTGCCCGAGAACTCTTCAGTCTACTTGCACCATTGGAAGAGTGTCCTAGGGCGTCCTGTCATCTTGCAGAGTCTGTTGAGTATGTTTCGAAATGTTGGAGTCCCACCACCAACAAAAGGCACAAGTCGACACTGCTGACGCCCAAGCGTGGAGTCGATTTGCTGGCAACCTGCACGGTCTTAGTGGAAGTATGTTTTTATTTGGTGTAGCATGATGAAGGCCTCTGCTGCTTGAGAGCCGGCCGGCAAGCTACAATTATCAAACATTTCTAGCCCGTAGCCATCCAGCAAAATATGCCAACCGTACTCAGTGCAGGGGAGTGTGTCAATGTGAGCAAGCCCCGTCACAATGTTTGCTGATCTTTCTCTCTCTGCCGCAGCATGTTTGCTGATCTTACTTGCGCCAAAAGTAACAACAGGAAACTCTTGGGCAGAACATGCAGAAAGGGGCTGCCCATACCAGTGGTTCATTTTTGGTGTCAAACAGGCCCACTGTGGCAAGTGATTCAAAGAACGAAATGCTTCTATGGTTTTTTGAAGGCACAACATCCGTACCAACAGCAATTCCCAGTTCTCCTCCAAGTTATGCGGCACCCACGTCTCCAACGGATGGGACCGGCAACGCTGACACACTGGTTGCCAATTGGTTGGAACCAGAAGGGCCAATTAGTTTGTTTTTGCTTGTTTGTTGCTTGCGCTCTCTCCAGCCTTGCAGCCAAGGGTTAGTCCTGCGCAGACTGGACCAATTAGTGAGATTGACCATTCTAGAGGAAAGCCCACCAAACAAGCAGGGAAGTGAAGGGTGAAGCCCACTGAAGCATTGGCGTGCCATCAAAAGGAAGCCCCGTCCCTCCCCCATTCTGAGTATTTGGGTACGCCCGTTCGATTTCTCGCGTCAACTCAAAAAGCCAGGCATAAACCCTAAAAGGAGAAGCCCGCACCTTCACAAGGCTCGTGCAACTCAGATAACCTTTGTTTGGTGGTTTGGACTTGTGGTCTGGGAATGGACCTCCGTCTAAACCTCACATCCAAACCACCAAATCAGTTGATGTCCCCCCTTATTGTCCTTTGTTATTTGTTTCGTTTGAGGGACGTCTGCGTTTCCCACACGACCGAGCGCAAGGGGAAGCCCCCCCCCACTCCCCGCAGCGCCTCCGCCTTCGCCTTCGCAGCCTCCCAGCGCGACTTCTGCTCCGCCTCCTCCACCTCCTTCTGGCGCTGCAGCGCCTCCTCCCGCGCCTTCCAGGGGCGCCAAGGGCGGGCGGGGTCAAAGGCGCGGAATCTCAGCCCAAAATGCTCGGCCTAGGCGTAAGTCCGCGCAAATGCTCCCTGGTTTTCACCATGGTCCGCGGTTCTGACTTGCAAAGTTGATGGGCAACGGGCCTTCAGTTCTTGCCTGTCCCGTGGCAGCTGGTGGGGTTGGCGTCCCCTAAGGGCAAGACCCATATCTTTCTCAAGCCCGCCACATACCGCCTGCGGCCCGTGGGCTGAAGGGACCAAAGCACACCAAATCGAACTTGATTTCGCTTTTGGGCGGGGTGATGTCCACACCTCCCCGCCCACTGTTCGGTTGGTGCTTGAAGGGGAACTGCGTCACTTTTTGGGTCTCCTATTTTGAGAAACCCGAATGGGTATGTGTTTTTTCATTGGGGACCCTTTGATGGTTTTGTAGCCCGCTGCTTTGTTCTTTTTGCTCATTTGGGTCCTGGTCAGCCTTTGGGGCCGTTTGGGACGTTTGCAGCCCCTGCCCGCTTATTTTGGCCGTAGTTTCCAGATCGTGTTGCTCCTAGTTTTGGTCCTAGTCAAACAACCTGCCACATCAAAGAACGAACGAAGAACTAAAACTGAAACGAGCAGAAACTAGGACCGAAATGAGCCAAAAAAAATGGGACCGAAGCTAGACGCCAACTAGCACCAAAACGATCTGGGGCCGATTTGACCGAAACCAGGAAAAAAATAGGACCAAACCAAGTCCAAAGCTAGGACCGAAACGACGCCGCGCCCTTTACTGGACATCATTTGCATGGGAATGTATGTCCACCAGCCACTTCTTGGAGGTGGTTCCAACTCTTAAAATTCATCGCATGGCCCCACCCCCTTGCCCCCGCCTTGGCTGCCCGCTGGGCCTCCTGGCGCCGCCTCAGCGCCTCCTCCTGGCGCGCCAAAGCCTCGGCCTCCTGCTGCTGCGCCTGGCGGTTTTCGACTTCGGCCCCTGGGCCAAACCAACGCGTGAGGACCAACCCAGGGGGTGCAGGTGACCAACCTTAGGGGGTGCAGGTTTTGACAACTGCAAATGAACCCAACCCAAAACTTGTCACATGTCAAAGAAGCCAAGCCCCTGCGCAATGTGGCCCCAAGCATTTGCCCAACCCCAAGTCCTCCATACGCCGCTTCCGCGCCCGCTCATCCTCCTGGCTCAAACAAGGAGGCGCTATTAGGCAGGATCCATGATGCTTCGACCACATCCATCAATTCTTGCCATGTGGAGGTTGATCAAAAGGTCCTTTACATGAGATGTGATTTTCCCCACTAAATTGGAAAAGCTACCCGGTGATTTGGGGGCCAGGAATATTGAGCAACCTCCATATGGCTTGTGTCTTACATGGCCCTCTTGGCCTCCAAAGTTCAACCGTAAGGCAGCCAAACGGTTCCCACGCCTGGCCCAATGGCAGAGTCAGTCCTCCCAGCGGCCCTGCACCAGCAGAAACATTTCCTGCGCGAAGCGCTGGTCTCCTGTGTCATTTCTGGACCCGGCTGTGGGGACTGTTCTTGCGAGCGCACCCCTGCCCGCAAACGCCCCCCATCCTACTACCACCCCCCTCCCACCAATGCCCTACCGCCCCCCTCCCCACCAATCCCTATCCCCGACTTCCCCCCTCCCCATCCAAAGGCCCTCCTCCCCGGTGCTTGTCCGGATGCAGCTCCAGCTGCAGCGCCCTCAGGCGGCTCCGCCGCTGCTCTGGGCCGTAGCCGTCCACCTGCGCCAGCTCCTGCCAGGCACGGCTGGGAGGTATGCAGGCACCTGGTGCGTGTTTGGCTCACCCAACTCCCCTATCTTGTTCCTTATTTGAGCCCTTTTTATTGAAATAACAGGGGTTTCCAAAAATAACTATCCACTACTCATCCTTGTGCAAGCCACAGGCCACTCAAGACTCTGAGGGGAGCAGCTCGGATGGAAATTCGATCTTTGATCCAAAGAGAAAAGTTGCCGTCTTTCGGTTTGGAGTCGCCATCCTGAGAGGAGCTGCGGACCGCCCATGCTGTAGAAACCTGAATCAAGACCTTGTGACCTGCATGCCCGCCCATGAACTACAAACGGAAGGCCCTGCAAAAACAGATGGGAACGTGCCATTGTTCCACAACCTAAACAGGAAGCCTTTGCTAATTACTTCCAAGTGGCTGCCCCACAGTACAGCCTAATCCCATGTTTTTCAAGATGTTTCGGTGACAAAACTAGGTAGCCTTCCTACATGTCTTGGTTTCCTGTTGGTTTCCCCTCAGAACTTCCCCCCAAAGACCCACACGCCGGTGGCACGGTGTCTCCTGCATCAGCCGCACACGGCGGCGTGCCCACATCTCCTCGAGCTCCTGCTCCTGCTCCGCCTGCTCCTAGGCTCTCAGGGGGGTTGGCGGTGCTGACAGCAGCTCTGGCAACAGCACTTCGAGCAACAGCCGCTCTAGCAACAGTTCTAGCAGCATCTAGTAGCAGTTGTGGTTGATGCGACCGTCGGCTTCCATACAAAAAGTCTTGTGCTGCACGCGGGGTCTTGATGCATTCCGAGGTGCATGGCTAGGCCCCCAAATACGAGGATGCAGGTCAACATGGAGCCCAAGGGCGCGACAATCATAGCCCGTCTTCAAACCACTGAGCAAGCACGACTAATTAGCTCAGCTTCGATCCTCTCCCTCTCCCTCTCATCCTCTTGCAGCTGCTTTGGCCTCTCAACTTTTGGCGGCTGCTGTGGCCTCTCATCCTTAGGCGGCTGTGGCCTCGCATCCTTGGGCGGCTGCTTGCGCCTCTCATCCTTGGGTGGCTGCTTTGGCCTCTCACACTTGTCCCGACGCAGGGGGTCTGCCTCGTCCCGAACAGTATCGCACCACTGGCAAAGCTCCTCACAGGCTTGAGCACATGCAGCACTGCCTTCTCAGAGCTTTCTGCCTCTTTGATTCCAGTCAACACGATCATATGCCAACAACAAATTCAATAAGACAATTCCTTATCTAGGCCGTCGTTGACTCCACTCTGCCCACTCGGCCTCCAAAACTAGGCAACCGCACCTCTGAGTCGCTGTTGTCCTCGAGGCATTTGCTGCACTCCCACTTCGGCGCCATGGCGTTGGCTAGCACATTCCAGGCCAAAGAAAAAGGAGCGCTGTGGCACAAGGTTGTTCCGCCGGAGGCGGGCAACTAGCGATGTCCGCATCCAGTGCTTCACTGAAGAAACATGCAAAAAACGAAACATCATGCAATCGTTGGGGTGGACCCAGGCGAACCATATTAAGCTAGCACCTCCCAAACACAATGGCAGCTAGTTGCCAATTCCCTGCCACGAGCAACAACAACAAAAATTGGCCACTTTGTTTGAACTAAAGCCAAGAGACGTGGCACATCGGGTGCTAGCGGACGTGACAAGTGCGTGATGCTCAGCTCTTGTTGCAAGCTCTTGTGTAGCAGGCATTGTTCGGTTTCCGACATTGGCATATCAGTTGAAAATGGGAGATACCAAAGCCACATGTTCCCAAACTCGGTACGTGTTGAATTAAAAATAATCCTCGCAGGTGGCACTTCTGGGCTATCCTGCCCAACATGTTGAAAGCTCTATTCCTGCGGGGCAGGCAGCGTCCCAGTGATTCATAAGCAAGGATATGCCTAGTGAGCATGCACAAGGTGTGCAAGTGCAGCGGTATCCATTCACCGCAACGCTGCCATACGCTGACTGGCCGACGTGGGCGGTGGCGGCACGCCTGGAACCCCCCCACCCCACACACGCAAAGAAGAACGAAGAAACAACTGGCCAGAGGCCCCCATGTGCCAGCGAACAATCAAGCCTTGCAAGCCCAGAACCAGATGCAACGTTTGACCATGCTGCCTGGATGAAATGCCCGTGCCTTCCTTCCAATCTATGCCCGCGAAGGCAAACAGAGATGTTGCAGAAACCCACGCGAAACATCAGGGAGCGGCATGCCGCTGGGCCGGGCTTGGTCAAGTCCGAGCGTCCGACGGCACCCCACCCCAGAATGCTTTTCTCTTCGTCTTCTCTTACATCGAAATGCACAGTGGCTGACAGCCACAGGTTTTGACATCTGACAAGCCCAGAAAATTGGACAGAACCCCAGCCGCTACAAGCAGTGAGATTCGGAACGAAAGCCAATCCCTATGGGACGTGCTTGCAACAGAGGGACTTGCGCTGAACAGGTTGATCTTGCAGACATACCAAAGGCTTCGCAGATTCACGAGCCAGACAAAGCAAAGGAATCAGGATCTACCTGTTGCCTGTCTTGGAGCAGCTTGCTCACCTTCTCGAACGCACGGATACCTGCTCTCTCCTGGGCAAGAGATGCTGAACACAATGCATATATATATATATATATATATCCAAGTGATAGAACTCTCACATCTATTCCGGAAATAAATCCTGTTTCGATGTGGCACAGCCTCGCCAGATGTTTGATGTGGGGCCTCTGTGAGCACTGTCCATCCCCCATTCCCCAAACTCCTCAGCCAACATGCGGAAGATCACATCCAACGCAGTAAAGAATTACCCGGCAAATGCAGCCAAGCCCCACGGTCAAGAACAAGTAGGCCCTCACTCAAATCCCCATGAGGCTCAGTGCTTGGAATATCCTGGATTTATGAAATACCTATGGCCTGCAAACCGTACTAACTGTGAAACCTTTCACCCATGTAATTTCCCAACAGTGGCAGCTGGCTAAGTTGCCGCTGCCCGGGAATGCATGCATGTTGCGTCGCAGAGACACAGCCCCAAGGCTCCTCGTACGCCTCTGTCCACGCCACAATCTGATCATAGCTGGGCTTGTGCTCCGATTCCCCCAGTTTCACCAGGTTGTAGTTCAAGTCCTGGCGGCAAACCTTGCCCACAATCTGGGAACACCCCGCCCTCTCCAAGATTTGAAGCCCTGCCTCGATCCAAAGCTCCCAAGGGAAGGGATATGAACGAAAGAAAGTCACTTGCCAGTTGTTGATGGTCACGAGCTGGTGGTAATAGCTCTGCTGCGCAAAGACCTGGCTGTGCATTATGGTGATCGGGGACACCATGTCTTGGTTTCGCATGGCTATAAAAACCAACCAAAAGGTTCCCTATTTTGTTCTTCACGCCTTGCAGATCTCCAGGCCCACATCCGAGTTGTCGTCAAAGTCCGCCCCCATGTTCTCCACCCGCCAATCCGCGGCCGCGTTCTCCGTGTTCGCCACAACCACCAAGCGATCCCCCATGCTCCGGAAGAACTGGGCAAACTTCGGGGACGAGACCACCTCCTTGGAGGGAAGGAACAGCACCGCGGAGTCCATCCGAGCGCTCTCCGCCTCCCTGTACCTGAAGCAAACCGCTGGAACAACGAAGCTCTGTCTTCGCCATTAAAAAAAAAAAAAAAAAAAAAAAAAAAAAACGATATGTGAATGAAAGCAAGAAAACATGAAAACATGAAAACATGAAAACATGAAAACATGCATGAATGAATGAATGAATGAATGAATGAATGAATGAATGAATGAATGAATGAATGAATGAATGAATCAATTAATGAATGAATGAATGAATGAATGAATCAATGAATGAATGCACGAATGCACGAATGAACGAATGAAATGAAATGAAATGAAATGAAATCAAATGAAATAATGAATGAATGAATGAATGAATGAATGAATGAATGAATGAATGAATGAATGAATGAATGAATGAATGAATGAATGAATGAATGAATGAATGAATGAATGAATGAATGAATGAATGAATGAATGAATGAATGAATGAATGAATGAATGAATGAATGAATGAATGAATGAATGAAATGAATGAATGAATGAATGAATGAATGAATGAATGAATGAATGAATGAATGAATGAATGAATGAATGAATGAATGAATGAATGAATGAATGAATGAATGAATGAAATGAATGAATGGAATGGAATGAATGAATGAATGAATGAATGAATGAATGACTGAATGAATGAATGAATGGAATGGAATGAAATGAAATGAAATCAAATGAAATAATGAATGAATGAATGAATGAATGAATGAATGAATGAATGAATGAATGAATGAATGAATGAATGAATGAATGAATGAATGAATGAATGAATGAATGAATGAATGAATGAATGAATGAATGAATGAATGAATGAATGAATGAATGAATGAATGAATGAATGAATGAATGAATGAATGACTGACTGAATGAATGAATGAATGGAATGGAATGGAATGGAATGGAATGGAATGGAATGGAATGGAATGGAATGGAATGGAATGGAATGGAATGGAATGGAATGGAATAGAATGGAATAGAATGGAATGAATGAATGAATGAATGAAAGAAGGAACGAACGAACGAACGAACGAACAAACAAACAAACGAACGAACGAACGAAGGAATGAATGAATGAATGCATGAATGAATGAATGAATGAAATAAATAAATGAATGACTGACTGACTGACTGACTGAATGAATGAATGAATGAATGAATGAATGAATGAATGAATGAATGGCTGGATGGAATGGACTGGACTGGACTGGACTGGACTGGACTGGACTGGACTGGACTGGAATGGAATGGAATGGCTGGATGGAATGGAATGGAATGGAATGGAATGGAATGGAATGGAATGGAATGGAATGGAATGGAATGGAATGGAATGGAATGGAATGGAATGGAATGGATCGGTATGGAATGAAATGAAATGGCATGACATGACATGAAATGAAAGAAAGAATGGGATGGGATGGGATGCAATGGAACGGAAGGGAATGGAAGGAATAAGATGAACTGAACTGAAATGAAGTAAAATGACATGACATTAAAGATGGCAAAGGAAGGGAAGGGAATGGCATGGAATGGCATGGAATGACATGGGGTGGAATGGAATGGAATGGAATGGAATGGAATGGAAAGACGCATGAAATGTTATCTATGAAGTAAGAGAGATGGAATATGATATGAAATGAAATGAGATGAAATAAAGGAAAAGGGAATCCTGACGAAGAGACAAATCGCCAGAGTCGTTGGGGGAAATCTTTACCCATATAGGTGAGAATGCACGACAGAGAAGGGGGGAAATGTCCAAAACTTGTGCGCAACTCTTGGTGGATAGGGCGAGGTGCAGCAATGTTGTCACATCCTCGTCCACCAGTGACGTCTTCAGACCTCTGAGGTGCTCGCCTCAAGGCGAGAGGTGGCACAGAATACTTCATGGTCCCAGGGTCCCAGGAACAGGGGCCATGTAAAATATGATTCTTCCAGCCATGAGAGAAAAATGATGCTAAGCAAGCAGGTCCAAAGTGTCGCAGGAACCGTCCTCCCCGCGCGCGTGCAAGAAACAACACACAGCCTCATTCACAAATGTCCACAGGAAATTATTATTGTTATTCTTCTTCTTCCCTCTGCTTTTTTTCTGCTTGTTCTTCGTCTTCTTCTGCATGTACTTCTTGTTCTTCTTTGCCTTCTTCTTCCGCATTACTTCGCCCATCAGCAAAACAAACAGATCAGTAGAAAACAAGGAGGATATGCCAAACCATTCAGCAGAGCACGCCTTCTCCCCAAGCCATCCATCAGCCTGGCAACTTGGCCTTACAAAACAAGATTCCCTAAACAATTCCATTGCCCAGTGATCTTTGTCAACCTTTCGGGGGACCCACCGCCAGAGCGCGAGAAACAACAATGTAACAACTCCACCACCCGAAAACAAGGGTGGGCTTGGGCGGCCCTACAAAGCGCGGGGACGCGGAACTGCCCGATTTTCCCACTCCCCACTCCCCACTCCCCACTCCCCACTCACCCCCCACTCCCCACAAAGCGAAATTTGGGGCCCCCCGCCGTCCCAGAGCTTGGTGGCGAAGCTCTTGGCAAGCGGCAGAGTGGCCTTCAACAGGGCCCGCTTCCTCAGCCATCCCCAGAGACCAACAGGGCCCCTGGACCTGTGGATTGGTTTCCCATTTGCCCGCAATCCGTTCAAATCCCACACCACCCGGCACTCGGGCTCAAAAAATTATGCAACTGCCAGCTGATTTGGAGGGGTTTTCTTGTACAGGTGTTGTCAGACCCGGAGAGCGTGGGGGGGATTGTCCCTGGTTTCGATGTGGTGCTTCCATGTCTCCATGTCTGGGGCGACGAACGACGGAAGTCGAGAAAACGGAGAATCAGACACTAAAATAACCAGCTTTTGTTTGGAACCTGGAAATTGGAACTTCAAACCGATTGGAAAGAAAGAAGCAGAAACAAGGGATCTGACTCCAATAAATTTGGATGGTCTCCCTCAAACTTTCGGGAAAAAATAAAATTGAAACCAAAAAGCAGTCCACTGGTTGCGGTCGACCCCGATTTACCCCCAAGACTTTACTTTGGTTGAAGACCCCCAAGCTATCGCTGCTGCGGGATTTCAGGAAAACCAACAGAAATCAGAGCGCAACCAACATGAAACTACCAAAAGGAACAAACCAACAGGAACCCAAAAAACAGACCAAAACCGGGTTTCTCATCGTCCCCGGTGAAGGCGGCATCCAGGCGCAGGCGCACGCTTTGCCGCGTGAAGCCGTCCTGGTAGGCCCGCATGGCGGCGGCCGCCGCCTGGCGGCACATCACCTCCGTGGAGTTCGGCAAAGGCGGCCTCGCGGCGAGAGCGATGAGAGCCGCAGCGCAAAACCCGACTTGCCGAGTTTGGGGATATCGGGGTACCCGGACCAGTGGTTTGACCAGTTTGAAGGGCGGGCGAGATGTGGAGAGCCCCCTACCCCGAACAGGGGACACCTAAACCCCAGGAGCACATGTCCACCCAACGTTCAACCAAACTCCTGGGATTGAGACAGTTTCCAAATCACTTTTTTTGCTGTATGGGGGTCCCCGCGAAAATATATGGAACCCCTCAACAAAAGCGACTCCAATTTTGAGCAGGGGCCTTTTGCTTTTGGTGTCAAACAAGGGAGGGGACTCATGAAGATGGGAATACTTATGCCGTGCCTCAAACTGGGGTTTATTTCAATCCAGCCAGCCAAATGGAAGTCATTTTCAGGTGTTGACGTTGGAGGTACAGAGGCCTATTCACGCCAATGTGAGTGCCTCAGGCAAAAGTCACCCTCTTGTAAAAGGCATAAAAGCTCCATGCCTCCAAATCCGAAACTCAAAATGTGCCTGGGAGGACTGTTTCTCCGGGGGTGTGACATAGGGGCCCGACGTCTTGTAAAGACTCCTCGTGTGGATAAAATCAGTTCATTGAAGTGGTTGAATGAATTCATGCGGGCTTCCTGTAAACGGCCGAATCATTTCCAAGATGGGGGAACCATCGTGGTGGGATGCAGGTTGCTGGGTCAGGGATGGGTGAGAACAGCTTAGGTTGCAAGGGAACTGAGCCTCCACCATCGACTTGATTGCAACCATATAGGTGGCCTTCCAAGTAGCATATCTCGAAATTGAGGACCCAGACAGCGGGTTTATGGTGTACAGTACTTGCGATGTGCCTTGCGCTGCCCGCACTTCACCAGCAAGAGCAAGAAGCAAATGATAGAAGATAAATCAACGAAATTGTCGCCTGTTGGAGGGACCCTTTTTGCCGTAAACCAGCCAGGTTCCAACATTGCAGTCTGTTCCGTTTGGCCCCACCTCACATCCACCTGCGGCCCAGCCGAGGCGGCCAAGAGTGCTCTTGGCCTTCCTTCCAGAAACTGTGGGCGACCTGCAAAGGTCCAGCCGAAGAGCATGTGCGGCAGGGCTGCCGCCCATAGCGTGGCCAAAGCCGCGGCTACGCAGGAACGAGGTCTAGCCATGGGGGAACTTGGCGCGAAAATTGGGCACAACTGACGGCGGCAGGGCAGGGTCGGATGCGGCTCTGCACCCGTCCCCTTCGTGGCAATGCCTTCATCAAACAAACCCGATTTAAGCCACCCCAAAAATGATGCCTTCAGAAAACAAACAAACAAAAACAAACACAAACACACGTCTTACACTTCATCCACACTCTTCTGGCCCGGGCTTTGTGCTGACGAGCTTGGACGTTCGGTGAGACCAGGCGCGCAGTTGCCGTTGGTGGGTGCAAGGCAGCTTTGGCCAAGGCTTGCTTGTTCCGCTGCTTGGTTACTTCCAAAATAATCTCAGAAGTCCCTGTTGAAATAGGCTGAAGGAACAAACTCCCAGAAAGGCAGAGCCCTGTCCTGGATAAAAGCACATCTCACTGCCGCAGCATGATCGGTCCCTCTGCAGCCAGCCTGCGCAGGCCAGAACACTCGCGGAGAAAGCACAGGCATCCCATCTCCGCTAACAGTTGCTGTGGCTGAATCGTTCTTCCTAAGCCCTTCTGTCTTCCACCATTCCGAGCGCTGCAAGAAACATTGCATGGCGCACACCCGCCCACACATGAAAGGAATACAGACCTCAACACAGCGGTATCAAGGGCGTGTCCCCGATCTCGGGCTCCCCTTGGCAGAGAGTTGCGGCAACCTCTGCAAACGCAAGCGTCCTTCAAAACATGCGGCATCAGGTGGCTGTGGCTCAAAAGACCGGTACCAAAATGGAACCTTGGAAAGTGGAAACATGGACCAAAACCTGATTTTGAGCCACACCCAGGTGTCGCGAGATCCCTGTCCTCCAAGGCGGCGGTGGCGACCTGCCGTTCACAGCGAAACGGCTTGCTTGGGCGGTTGGTGTGGGTGTGTTTTGGGTTGGGGTCGGTTCGGGTGGTTGGTTCAAACTTGGGTGACCCACGACTTCTAACACATGGTCTCCTTTCGGATGCTACACACATGACTGTCCTTTGATACGTGGCGGAATCCGTTTGTCAGGACCTGCTTACAGGTTTAGGGCCTCCTGACTAAAATGGCTGGATTCTCTGTGGTTGAACTTGAAAACAACACCGGAAAGGGTGCCATCCAAGAAAAGGCAGACCCATATCCTTCGACAAAACGGCCAGCCCGCCCTGCCGATGTCAGGAGAGGCATCCCGGACCAATTGCCAAAGTTGCGACAGGCAAGATTCGAGATCGAAGGAACTCAAATCCAGGAAAGGATGCAAACCTTTTTCAGTACGGCTGATTGCCGGGCCTACATGGCTTTACCAGCCATCTGAGCTGCGCCCGCTTGTGGCGTGCCCTCGCACAGCTTACCCAAAACAATGCATGGTCTCAACGAGTGCGGGCACAGCTCAACCATGTCCTCCCCCCAGGCCAGGGTGACAGGACAAATGCAGCTCCTACGAGCTTCTACGGCAGGCCCCTGCCACTTGGAGACACAGCCTGACTAGAAGCGCATCAGGAAGCGGTCTGCCATCTCATACACGTAGAAGATCAGAGCGTGAGACGGCACTGCTCTCAGGCAGGTTATGCCGCAGCCTCGGTAGAGGCCAGCAACGCCCTCCTCTTTCACCACTGTGCGAAAGACCGTGGCGAAGGAAGCCTGGGAGAAGCGGCTGTCAGTCTGAATCTTCGACTTCACGGTGTCGGCCGGAAAGGGCACCGCCCAATACGCGACCCCAGCCCCGGAACCGGCCAAGGCCGACCAGTACAGCGGCACGTCCTTTTTCCGCGCATCCTGCCGGGCCCTCTGAACTAATCTCATGACGCCCTCGTACACGCCGAACCAGGCCATATTGCCAGGAACCTCCCGCGCCAGCGTGCTGAGGTTGCCTCTCCACAAGGCCTGGACACCGCCCTCACGGACCGTGCGGACGATGCAGTCGATGGGGCCCTTGTAGAGGTGGCTGCCCGTCTGGTTCAGCTGCGCCTGTAGCCTTTTGGGCTGCCAATTAGAGGACAACGTTTCATGCCCAGCTTTCCCTAAACCAATGGTTCACCGAAACATGCTTGTCCTACATCTTCCCTTCAAGGCTTGGAACAGGTCTGGCCAAAGCTCAGATAGAACCGGAGTGCTCCTGTTTGCACATGTAACCGATGAACTGCCCCAGAAACCCCATCTTGTGTTGGTCTTTCCTGCATTTGATGAGCTCCACGGGCGTCAAGACGCAGGTTGAGGCGCAGCCGCTGCCGCCTCCCGCAAGCACCAACTTCCAGAACGGAACAGGGTTGCTCAAGGTCGCCGCCTCAGGGAGTGACACACCAGTTGCTGGAGGCACAACACCACGACGGTGTTGCATTTTGCTACGGTTGCCGATGCCGCCGTCGCTGTTTCTCTTGTTGTGGTTGTTGGTGCTGGTTCGGAGTTGCTGGTGGGGGCTGGTTCCTGCTTGGCTGGATGGAGGAATGGCAATATGATGGCATGGATGGCTGGTGGGGCTGGCTGCCTGGCTCTGGCTGGGTGGGTGGGCGAGCGGGCAGGTGCGCAGGGTGGGTTGTTGTTGGCGGCGGGTGGTTGGCGCTTGTTGATGGTTGTCCGTGCTTGTTGGTGGGGTGGAGATGGTTGCTGTTGGCTATTGCTTTTCACTATTGTTGATTGATGCTAACCGCTACCGGCTGGTGGTTGGTGTCCGTGTGCATGTGCATGCGCGCGCGGGCGGGAGTTTGCGCGCGCTTGCACGTGCGGTGAGCATGTGCACGCGCGTACCATGGTTACCTGATTGGGCACCCCAAAGGGATGATGCTTGCTTTGCGTGGTCATCTTTGCCTGGCTCTCCGATTGCACCCACCCACCCGCCTTGCAAGTGGTTTGTGCATAAGCTTAAAACACACGGGGAAAAGTGCGAATCCATCAGCACGCTTGCTAACCACGCGAGTTGCATAAAGAAACATTTCATCACACTGTGCAGCCCGACCTCCTCATCCACGCCCAGCAGCTTTTTCCTTGATTGGCCAAGGCATGGCCATGGACACAAGAGCACCGGGAGGTGTGTGTGTGTGTATGTGTGCGTGTGCGTGCGTGCGTGCGCGTGCGTGCGCGTGCGTGCGCGTGCGTGCGCGTGCGTGCGCGTGCGTGCGCGTGCGTGCGCGTGCGTGCGCGTGCGTGCGCGTGCGTGTGCGTGCGTGTGCGTGCGTGTGCGTGCGTGTGCGTGCGTGTGCGTGCGTGTGCGTGCGCGTGCGTGCGCGTGCGTGTGCGTGCGTGCGGCGTGCGTGCGTGGGTGGGTGGGTGGGTGGGTGTGTGTGTGTGTGTGACACAGCATCGGAAGGGGACAAAGCATGCCTGTCACGTGCTGCCGTTCTTGCTTTAAGTCAAAAGCCACACAGCAAATGAGAAGGCATCTGAATATCAAGCATGACATTTGCTTGCCCTGACTTGACCCGTCGGTCCCATCCGCACCCAACTCAAACTCACCTTTGAGTGAAAAACGTCGACAAAGGGAGGACGGACTTTGCAACACTTGCAAGGGGATCATCACTACATCTACAGTATGCCCATGAATGGCTTCTGA